CAGTCGCTCTATAACAAACGCTATATCTCACGTGGCCAACAATATTTTCTCTGACTGCAGTTCAATTACTCAATACACTGTTGTTCCGTCACGTTGTGACCATCCTATATATACCAGTCTACCTCCAATCTAGTAAATGCTAGGGCATTCTTGAAGGAACAGGATATTTCTAGAAAATAGGTGGCGTGACACCAGTCACGTGACCTCGCTGACGCAACACTACATTCTTAATCTAGTTCCTTGGGGATTTTCAAAAACTAGAAAAGTGTATAGTAATAATATTTCAACCACACTATATTCTACCAGTATAACTAAATGTATTATCTATTATAATAATATTCAGTTTTTGTCTGTTCTGAAAATGCGTGCACACCTAACAATTTAAATGAGCATGCGTGCGCACTTCATTTCAACGGATGTAAACAAAAGGCGAATGTAAATATACTTTAGTAGACATTTAGTACAACAACACATTGAAAGGTTATTAAACTTTTTAAAAGGTCTAACGTTAAGTTATGGAATAACATTATAAGTTTATATATTGATAGAAATCATCTATTTAAAGAAGTTCTGTTGCAATCAAGATGGTAGTTTGACGATAAATGTTTTGAAGGTGCTAGTGTGCTATTTCTATACATTCTTCTAAGTCTTGAAAATCCCTAGAAAACTAGATTAAGAATGTAATGTTAAAAATATAATAGGCCTAGCATAATGACGTAATGTTAAAAAATATAATAGGCCTAGCATAATGACGTAATGTTAGAAATATAATAGGCCTAGCATAATGACAATTATAATTAATTAAACTTGACATAGAAGATGAATCAATACGAGGAGTTGACTTTAGTCAGTAATTCTATTGTTAGGCTTACTTTTATGTGAGGAAAAGAAACAGCAAAAAAAGACCAATACATTTTTTATATAATTGTCATTTATTTTCGTTGTCTTTCTTTACAGTACTGCCACCTAAAGCCGAAACCAATGAAGGTAAGAACCTTTCGATATATAAACCTGGCATTCTCTTTAATTACAAATGGAAAAATAAAATAATTTAGATACATCACGACACTTATCCTGCTCATATCTGATGCAGGTGGAGATTACAGGTGACTATCTATTTTCAAATTCATTCTGTGGTAGCATTCACCTCCCGTTTTCACTTTATAATAATAAAGTCTTTCTTAAAATAATTCTGTCTTGCATTTTGAACAACAAAGATTTTGAATATTAATTAGATTAACATTATTTCATTACTTATATATTTAACTGATAGTTAAATGAGGTAGATATTTCATCTCAAACTACACTAAACCTTAAGTTCCAGGTTTGTGAATTATTTTATATAGATGTTTAGATCCCAGTTTTATTTCATTTGTGAAGCTGTACGAGTTTATTAGACTAACCTGGCTTTTTGAAACACCTAAATTCTGTCTTTCATCAGAACAGATTTTACAGGTTGGGGTTTTAATAGTTTGTAAGTAACTTACACATGTTAGCCGAACACAATGAATAGATATTTATCGCGTTTTGAGATACCTTTTCTTCACCACAGTAAACCTATATTTGTATAAGATTTGATGAATGCGCAACATTGATGGTAATAATTTCTTCTTCTGAATTATTCAGCAGACAAGCTATTTAAAGTACTAAAAATACACACGAAGCCCAGTTTATCATCCAATTGTTACGTCTCCGTTTGTGTTGATTGATTTTTCGTAACTTTGTTCCGACGAAACTTAAGCGACACAAGTTTTTTCTTAATAAAAACTAGTTTATTCTTTCCGAATACAACTTTACCGATACACTCAACTTCAACAATCGCGCTAAACAACGCTATGACACGAACGTCAATAATACTCCTGACCGCAGATCAATTACTCACTATCTACCCACACACATTACCTTCCATTCATTTATATACCAGTCTACCCTCCATCCAGTAATTACTAGAGCATTCGCCAAGATACGGGATAGTTCTAGAAATGTGGCGTCACTGTAGTCACGTGACTCGCTGACGCAACAGTACTAAAAATACACACGAAGCCCAGTTTATCATCCAATTCATCACTTTTCACCGAGTTATACCAGTTTCCATTATTCACTAGTAATCTTTCCTGTGAAAGTACTCATTGGTCCTGAAGGTTAACTGATCTCTCTATATTTCTGTTGTTGTTTCTTTGACATATGGAGTTTTGTCTCTTACTCATCAATCACTACTTCTATCTTATCACTTCGCATTCGAATGAAATCGCATACAAAAATGCTTCAAATTTGACATTTTTCAGAGTCTGTGGTGAGGGGCGAAACTCCACGAAACTGATATAATTCAGTGACAAGGGTTGAGTCTAATGATACATTGGGATTCATATCTATTGTTAGAACAAATATATAATTTTAATTCAGATATACTGTTTGGTATTTAAAATAAAATATCATATGAAAAAGAACAAAAATTAAAATTTCAAAAAATATTTCCGTTCTAAAAGGGACAAATTGCTGGATGGGTTGTTTGAAAACGTAGCTCAGTTGTTTTTTATTGTTGTGGGTAATATACTGAAGTAATAACGTGACCGGCACGCGCACATCCCAGTGAGCTTATATCTCGTATTACAACAGCCAATGCAGAATGAACAATAAACTGTAGATTGATAAATATGGATTCAGCCCGCTTATTGGCAGATGAACACTTTCGTCTCTATTTGTTATATTTTGCATTATAAATAGGGATTCAACCGGCTTTTTTGGCAGATGAACACTTTTGTCTCTATTTGTTATATTTTTCATGATACATAGGGATTCAACCCGCTTAGTGGCAGATGAACACTTTCGTCTCTATTTGTTATATTTTTCATGATAAATAGGGATTCAACCCGCTTATTGGCAGATGAACACTTTCGTCTCTATTTGTTATATTTTTCATGATATTCAGTAGCAGTGACAGAAATAATAGAAAAGTTGCTCGTGGCCGCCATGAATTATCGCTTTAGTTATTCAGGCTGTTTATTTATTGGTATTTGTAATATACATATGTGTCGGCTGCTCTAAAATATGAAGTACGTGTAATGTTTCATTATCATTGATATTTATAAACTTAAAAATAACACAATATATGGCGTATTCTTTTATGTTAAAGAGTCACTTTGGGTGTAAAGTTTTTACTCCTATTTTGCTGTGAGAATTTGATTAGGGCCAGGAATAAAATTGCACTTCCCATTGTCAACTACATTAAAATGGTTGATAATTGGAAATAATAGATACAGCTATTTTTTCTGGTTCTACTACCTTCAAGGGAACGGTTGCTCGTAAGAAAAAAAAACAAAGTTTATCTTCATTTTAACCAGTCTTTAGAAACTTTTATTACACGTTAGGAAGAATATTAATTTGTAAAACAGAACTTTGAGAGATACGGTTTATTGTTACTACAGTGTATAATCGTAACCAATACTCTGCAGGTGACTGTTCTTTTGACACCAACATGTGTATGTGGACAGTGGTAGACTCACAAGAACAAGCTCGACATTGGAGTTTACCAAACGACCAGAATCGGCCAGCAGCTATAAGAGATCATACGTTCGAAGCTTTAGGAGGTACAGAATTATGTTGTACAAATGATATAAACACAAATTTCTGTTGGAGAGAATGAAATTTTACTGAAGACGCCTTTCCAATAGATACTATAAACTATATTATTTTTGACCCTTTAAATGTTATAAACTTTCTTAAACAGTCAAATTGGAACAAGGTGATTATTTCACGTTTAAAGATCGAATACCTATATTTAATATTTAAAATTTTCTAACATTAAGTTTATTTGTTAGTTAGTTTTAAATTTCGCGCAAAGCTACACGAGGGCTAGCCGTCTCTAATTTAGCAGTGAAAGACTAGAGGGAAGGCAGCTAGTCATCACCACCCACCGCCAGCCTACTCTTGGGCTACTCTTTTACCAACGAATAGTGGGATTGACCGTCACATTATAATGCCCCCACGGCTGAAAGGGTAAGCATGTTTTGGTGGGACGGGGATTCGAACCCGCGACTCTCGGATTGCGAGTCACGTACCCTAACCACCTGGCCATGCCGGGCCCTAGCATTAAGAAACATGCGCAAAAGCGAATATAATGAACCTGTGGGGGAAGAGCAGTTTAATTGAAGTTCTCGCAAGAGCGAATAATGAACATTAATTTTGCATAAGAGAAAGTCTGTTGATCAAGAAACGTCAACTGAGGTTAAGTCAGCAAAATATTGCAGTTTGATTGTTATTAAGAAAGTTTACCCACAAATTCAAATGAAATGTGGAGTTAAGTAGGATTTTACAATGGAAACTTATGTCGTGTTAAGAACTTAATTCCTAAGAGAAACATCATTTGTTCTGTGAAAGAAATGTATAAGCTTCACTAACTGTGGTTGCCTACTTTATAAAAGAACATATTTCAATAACACCTAGTACTAGTGCATCTTCTGCCAAAACGCTCTGTCGCTATGACAGCTGATAAATTCAACTTAGTGTGTGGCACTAATTCATGAGATTGTGCTGCCTAATCTGAAGAAGGAGTTGTATTTGCATGTTATATAACAAACAGAACTAAGAGTTAGAAAGGGAAGGTATGTATGTTAAGTAGTAGGCAGAACTAAGAACTACAAAGGGAAGATGTGATGTTAAATAGCAGGCAGAACTAAGAACTACAAAGGGAAGATGTGATGTTAAATAGCAGGCAGAACTAAGAACTACAAAGGGAAAGTAGGTATGTTATAT